CMAMYWWTKRWTKRAAAAAAAMTGTAAATATGATGTAAGTTGTCCAATSCTGTCCATTCAGTTTCACATTTCATGACTGAAACATGCACGACTTATATATGAGAGTCAGCCTCTATACGGTCTGCTGATGGTGTTGATAAAGATAGTAATTGCCCAATTAAAGTCAGCAACTTCAAATAATTCTTCATCATACCCTACCTCATCCAATATCATAGCCAACCCAACGAATAACTCTTCACGTCACAGTCCACCTCAACCAATGTAATTTTTCATATCACATTCAGCCTTAGCCAATAATTCTTCAAAATTGAAGCATTGTCTGAACGCCTTCATAATGGAGAGCTACCAGCCGTATTTCCTGAAAAATGATACWGCAATATTTATAGCCCGACGCCTTAATGGCTTTTAGTGTAAACAGTAAGTCGTTAAGTTAGTTGACAAGAACTTCCTTTATTCCGCCCACACATAGAGCTTCAGAAAGAGAAAGAGACAAACACTATGCACAATATACTTAACAATCTACGAAACAGGTCCCATTTTGCCTGAACTTTCTCAATTTTTTTAGCGTTATACTTTACTACAATGCACAATATAATTTAACAATTTATATATATATTCGCTCAGTATCAGTTGATGAAGAAGGGTGAATGCCCTAAACGTCCATTAAAGAGTAGGAAAACAAGTTGCAAGACTTTGTGTGCCTTTTTCTTCCATTTATTCTATTTATATATTCGCTTTGTTTGTATAAGGCTTTTTGACTATTTCGCGAAAAGAGATATCCATAATGATGTATTAAAAAAAGCTTTTAGTTGGGATTTTATATTTTGATGTCTATAAGATACCGATGTTATTATATTTGGTTTAATTTTTTTTTAATATGCTGTATTATTTGGCTACGAAGTTGGGCTTCAAAGTCCAGTAAAATGAAATAAAATATTGAATGGTGCGCCAAGAGTATATAATATATCAAAACAAACAATCATTGGTTGAAGCTAAGTTAGAATTGACTCATTTCTCATCCAAGACAATGCTGCAATTCGAAAAAAATCTGAATAAATACAAACGTTTGGAATTTGCCGGCTTTTGAAGAAAGGGGCCCTCGAACTGGAAGAATTTCCCATTTTGAGATAATACTTCCGCACATTCTACAGTACAACCGAATGYATTTTTAATGAAAAACTGAACGACAAGTAGCGTCGCAACAGAAAGTTAAATCAATCATTGCACATATATGAAAGCGCACAGGTGTTTCACCTTTTTTACCGTTCTTCTTCACTTGAGCTTTGAGGGTTTTGCAGTGGACGATCAATCGTAAACAACCTTAAGAATTACCAATATTTCTATGAGCCGTAGTTGGCATTGCAGCTGATCACTGTGGGATATTTTACTCAAGCCATAGTTTAACTATTCTCAAGCATGCAGATCCATGCAATTGAAGGTGATACTATTGCAAGATGGAGGGTGCTCATCGAATAACTAATATTGGACAATCTGTTTCCAGTTCTTCAAGTTAATGGTTTTTGAAGAAGTTGTTTCTAACTCTTCAGTGTTATTGGTTTTTGAACAAGTTTTAMTGTTTTCTGAACTTACAAGTTTTACTGGTTTTTGAACAAGTTTCACTGTTTTTTAAACATACTTACCAACTACGTTTTAACAAGTTGTTTCCAGTTCTTCACTCGATGTTACGTCTATTTCAACTGCTCCTCTTTTTCTCGTATCAGTAAAACTTATTATTATCAAAAATATAACAAGCAGCGTTAAGAGATACAAAGTCACAGAATTTCCAGACAACAAGTCTGGTGACACTATTGACAGCTGCATCAGAGTCTACCCTACACGAAATGAAAGCCTACAATTCCTCCKTTATTGGATCATTGAATGACACAACRAACAGCACATTTTTCACAGCAAAAGAAGATCAACTGCWATATATCCTGTTGAGMTCTATCMACTTTCAAAACTTCTTAACTGCGATGATTATCATCAACTCTCTGATATCTATTGCAGCTTTTGGTCTTAACCTTTTGATCATAGTGACTTTATTAAAGACGACTTCCTTGTGGATACCCTCCAATGTTCTTTTATTGGGTTTGGCTTTTTCTGATTTGGGAGTCGCTGCTATTACTGAACCTGCGTACTGCTGTTTCTTGGTTGCTATTCTGAATAAGAACTTAACATGGATGAAAA